CATGTAAGCTCGTGTCTCCACTGGAAAATAAACTTGTTTTTGCAAGTTCATTCTCATTTTAAGCTAGATATTAAATTGATGCAAGACATAGATTAAAATCAAGCAACATGAGACAGCAGACCATTGAATCAACAAGTTCAATCAATATTCAAACAAATGAATATTTCCATTCATTTCATTCTACCATTTAGGAAAAGGATCACCTTCCATTTCCCATTTGTTTAATTGAGAAGTTCCAGTGTTTCAACAAGGATGTCAAAAGTGTTACTCCTTATAGTAAAAGATATCCAACAAGATTTAGAACAACCTACTGAAATAAACATTAAGCAATGTTACAGAAAATCACCACTATCATCAAAAGAAAAAAAAAAAAAAAAGTAAATTGAAAGAATTATGATAACAAAGAGGTAACAGCTGTCATATGAAATGAAATCAACAAACAATAACTCCCAGGAACAGGAATCACCTCATCACGAATATGTGTTCGAGCACGGAAAGTCAACCGTTCATGAACATCTGCAAGAATTCTCTCTAGTGTAGGACGTAGACCAGCTAATGATTCGCTCCTCCGACTTAACTGTTCACCTAGGACTTCAACTTTCAATATATCAACAAGTTCGCAAAGAAAATCAACATTTGTTTCATGAATAAGTTTTGGCCGCAGTGTGTCATACAAATATGTAGACCTGCATTAAGTTATCACCATAAGGAGGTTATTATATATTTTAAAGTGCACATAAACCAATCAAAGAGCCAACCTCCACCTTACAATGTAACAGCCTAACAAGGGACAAAGCCAAAAAGACAGAAACCAATCAAGCCTGACTTGCCTCTGGCACATGTAATTTAACAGAGATTGCCTTACCCCAGTTATTACACGTCACCTCTAAATAAAGCAAGAGAGAGAAAGAGAGGGAGAGAGAAAAGGAGACCTACAGAGGATCTATCAATGGAGCCAAACTTGAAACGTCCTCTGCAGAAGATGGGAAAAAATGATCAAAAAGTTGATGCTCAAGCTGACAGACCTGCAAATAAGTAGTTTCAAATTCAATTACAATGGAAACTTTATTGTCCTACAACATGAATTATTTTATTATATTCTGAAAGTGAAAAATAGAATGAAAAACCTTTGAGCCAATATAAAAGAAAAACAGAAAATGATCACTCTCATCAACTATGACATGGAATCCAAAGATTGCTAAATTGTACCAAGTGTGACCGTACAGCATACTCAATATATCTATGCAGCATAAATTGATATATGACAGTAAGTTGCATATCATATTAAATCACACATCACAGATATCTTATGCTGTCCTTAATTAGGACAGGGTGAATCATACCATCCTCAGTTTACATTTATAAGTCCTTCATTGCCAGTTTTTTTAAAAGGAGTCTATTTCAATGAATGTCCTTGTAACATATATATATCTTACCTGCATTAGATATGCACATCCAGATCTAGTCAATGATGGCAAGGCCTCTTTCTTGGCAAATTCAGATATCCGTTGATGTACTATACCTCTTACCTGGATAAAAAGGGGGATAAGATAAAAGTGATAAAATGAATAAACTAATATGGTAAACAACCAATGATCCTTTTCAAAAATTAAAAATAAATAAATAAATATAGCGCACCAAGGAAAGTCTCTGTTCACAATATAGTTTGTGGCATTCCGCCAGGATCTGAGTATATTCTTTCCTTGATGATCTGCTTTCAATTTCCTCCAGCACTGGCTTCAGCTGCAGAGATTCTATTTGTTAGACATCAACACTTAAATGAGTTTAAAGTTAATGCACAGAACTGCATTCCCACATTAAAAATACTAGTGTAAAAACGTTTTCTAGGATCAACTTGCAATCAGCCTTTCAGGCCCTGACTGCTAAATGCAGTAACCACATTTCAATTAATCCCATAGATCATTCCAAGCTGAAAGGGGTTACTGTTACCTCACTTGCTGCTGCCTTGAAACGGACATATATAACAGATGCTTCCACACCCTCAGAAACAGATGCTTTGCTGCCCCCACTACTTCGGATAGCTGCCTGTACCTGATGCAAGACAGTGAACATAATACAAAGTGGTGTAATATGCATTAATGCATGTATATACTGAAGGAAACTATGAAAGATGTGTTCATGGTAACTCAGTTCAATATGGTAACTTTACCTGAGAAGAAGCACCTTTGAGAACTGAAAGTACATGAGAACGAATCATGCCCAAAGCTCGAGACTGTCCAAAACATGTATATTTATATATTACCGAAGGTCAAAATAAATCTTACAAGAAGATGAATCTCCGTTCTATACTATTCACCTAATCAAACCTCTGGCAAATTATACCTGCAATTGTCGAAACTTGAGTAGGTAAACACTGGATTCTGCATATTGTGGATTGCTTTCAACATACCTATAGTAGGAACAAGTCATTTGAAAACAATAAGTTTTAATAATATATCCTTATTAAATGCTCATTGTTTCCTAGTATCACTGACAAATTTGCAAGTGTTTAACGGAATAGTGTCTGAGGCATAGAATTACAAATAATAAAGGTATCCCACTTACGATATGCAATCATCAAGGCGTTTAAGAAGAGGGAGAAAGTTCTCATTTAGAACATTCATGTTTGGAGAATAAAAATTGGTCGCAATCTGCACAAAATTGAAGATTTAAACATGAATTATGTATACGATATATTTATATGATGAATATAAATATATATACTCTGGATGGTATTACATACAGACTTTGAGCATCATGTAATTTTCTTACAAATCTAAACAAACCAAAGAAGGTAAGATCCTAGGCACAAAGATTCAAAATATATACTTCAGTTTAAGTTTGAACAACACTACAAAGTAACGCCTGAAGAGGAAAATTCATACTGAGAAGAAACTGACTTATGCAGATTCATGAAAACTTAAAGCTTCAACACAGAAAAAAAAATCATATTTTTATATCCATTCATTGCCACGTATATTAGAGAGAGAAAAAACCCCCCACAATCTCAACAAAGGAATATTATTCTAGGTAAGGTAGCATTCAAACCTTACATTCTCCAATTCATCGAAGTAGTTCAGCTTACTGCGGAGTGCTTCTGAAAATTCAATCAGTCGTTGCTTCTCTATTAACTGCAAAGGAGAAATGAAGAAACAGCAAATTTTAAACAAGTTTTCAGGCACCACAAACAGTGGTTTAAGATGACACCAAGGAAAGTGTAACAAAGAAAAAAGGTGACAATAGAAAGAAAATCCCACCAGTCTGTCGCATGCATCATGAAGAGTTTTAGTCTTCGTTGCTACCGCCTGATGCTGAAGTTGCAGTTCATTAAACAAGTCTAGGGTGTCATCCACCTGCATAGAATGAAGCCCAGCTATTTCAAACAAGCATAACAATCTAAAACAAAAATGCCTTCAATGATACGAATAGATATATAACTAATACCTGACCAAGTATACCATCACATGTCTGTATGCGCTCTGTCAAAGTGTCTACATAGTGGCGATACTTCTCCTCTGTCTTAAAAGTTGAAAAACCCAAAACAAACAAAAAACAAAAAAATATGTGCAATGAGCGCATATGCACACTTGCTTAAATCATAAGGAGCTGTACTGGTGCAAAAATTGAGTACTAACCTCCGACTTCAAAGCAGCTTCAAGATCTGTAAACCATTTGTAAAACTGCAGGTAGAAGAAGCTAAGTTGCAGTGAAATAGCCATTGAATTGGAAGAGACAAAGGAATGTGATGGTGAAAATTACCTGATTTGTGTTGACGAGAACGGCTTCTATAGCAACAGAGTGTTCCGAGCCAAAGGAGCTGTCCTTGGTGGAGACGGACAGGGCATTTTGATGTCCTGTACGGTCCTGGCCCTAGAATTAAAGCAAAAGAAAAAAAAAATCATGTTATTATGGAGATAAAATCGTGAGGACAATGGAAGAGAAATAAATAGATGAATTTGCATTTGTAAATAATCTGACCAAATTGGGAGGGAAGGGTCGCTCTGCGACGGAATGCGATAGGGTTGCAATGGCCGCTTGCTGCTGCTCCGTTAATGGTGTGTTCTGCAGAGCGATCGAAGAAAGAAAGCACTATATCAAAATCCATATCGAAAGGATCTGATCCGATCCGATCCGATCCGATCTGATCTGAAGCTTGCTAAGTGTAATTATAGTGAAAATTTTTGGAGAAAAATCAGATGTATATGAACTGAAATTGTGAATTTGAATCTAGGGCAATGAGGCTGTGCCAAATTGAAAGAAGAGGAAGCAAACACCTGTTCCCAGTTAGAAGCGAAGTTGTAGCCCTTGGAAATGGCTCCAGATTTCGGAAGGTTGGCCTTACTTGCCATTCTTAATCTCTTCAACCTTCGTCGCTCTCGCTCTCACAATTCACAGTTCAGACAACGCTTGTGGTTGTCTTCATCCCAATTGCCTACGCCTATTTCTCAGTCCAGTCGCTTCCTCTTTTTCTTCTGTACGGGCTTTCAACGATAAACAAGATTTAAACGCGAGCTCTTTGTGTGTATTAGCATCAGGACGACGCCGTTTCGGTTACGGAAAACAGTTGAAAACGGTGCGAAATTGCTTGGTCCTTTTGCCTCTCTTTTTTCACCTTTTACTTTCTGTTTGTAACATTGCTTTGTCGCAGTAAAATTTTAGTGACGCAATGTTTTTTTACCCTTGAGTTGTACCACGGTTCTGAATTTTGAACTGTACAAGTGCTTCATGCAATAGGTCTATATTTTCATTACAAAACCATTAAAATGAGAGTGAAAATAACCAGATAAAATGGGGGAAAAAACATACTGGAAAATTTTATAAGCTTTTGACAAACTATTCAAATATTGAATACAACTGTAGACAAAAAACAAAAAAAAACAAAAAAACAATTACAAACTTGTGACATTTTTGCTAGGTTCCTTGCAGACCCTTTACAAGAAAGATACAACAAGAATACATGAACAAGATGTTGCAAAAGTTTCAGCAAGAGCTGAAGTGTATTAGTCCTTGACATCAGTGACACCTTCCGGAGAGATCTGAAACCGTGCTTCGGCCTCAGCCAGACAAGGAGAACTTATTACTTTACAGATCCGCTCCTCGCCTCTTCCTTTCCGGACAGCAAGCCTATCATAAGAAGAGATAAGTGACTAGAAATGCTAACACAAGAGTAATTTGTTCTGGGAGGAAGGTAGAGAATGAAGTTAGAAGGACAAACCTTGTTGTGGAAGCATGCGCCATGATGTTACCACCAATAGGCTTAACTTGAGGGCCGGCAAAGATTGCAGAACCATCCACTTGTGCAACTACTTGATTTGTGATAACAACAGCCACACCGAACTGCAGTGTACAAAAAGGGAAATACCAATAAATAACAAAGCTAAACTAGGAGGTCTGAGTATGTTTTATAAGTGAAGCTGTTAAAAATTTAACCTCATCTGCTAACTTCTGTAGGCTCCGTAGAAACTTTGCAAGATGCATTTGCCGGGCTGAAAGTTCTCCTCTTCCTGAGAAATCTGTTCTGTAGAGGGCTGTAGCACTATCTACTATCATGAGAGCAAACCTACAGAGACATCCGTTAAATAATTAGTCTTAACCTAAAAAGTTGAACACTAGACCAAACTCTAAACAAGCGCATAACTAGAACCGAGAGGTTCACGACAGACCTTGATTCATGACCATTAACAAATCTCTATACGAGACGAGAAAAAAATTGATAAAGTGTTACACCTTGTTTCTACCATCATGGAAGCTGCTTCAAGCAAGAGCCTTGACTGATGGTCCGTGTTATAAGCTCTAGCATATGCCACATTCTCCAAGACATCAGCACCATTGAGTCCAAACCTGTACCAACAACACCATTGACCATCTAGCATACATAAATCACAAGAGCAAGTTCACCTCAAAATATTTATATCAAACCTCTCTGCTATCTGTAAGAGTCTCTGTGGCCTGAATGTACCCTCAGCATCAATGTACATTGCTTTTCCCTCACCACCTCCTTGATCCAATGGGAGCTGAAACATCAAAATGAATCAGAAGTGCACTATAGTGAATTGAAATTATAGGTTGTAGTTCGGTGGTTTCTGTACCAGCACAACATGTTAAAGAGAAAAGAAAGTCACTTACTTGGCAAGTGACACAAAGCGTGTGACACAGCTGGGTCTTTCCAGAACGGAACTCACCATATATCTCAGTAATAGATCCAGTCTCGATTCCTCCTGTCAGAAGAAAACCACGTGGAAACTTTGATACCACAGAACTATCAACTGAAGTATAAAGTATTACATTCCTATTGGTAAAACAAGGACTCAAATCTAAGAACTTGCAAGTTCTTGAAATTAAACTGACCCTCCAATATCTTATCAAGTTCTCTTGATCCGGAAGTAATCTGAATGATTTCGAGTCTCTGAGCGTGGAGCTGACTAGCACTAGTAAAACCCAAAGGCACAAGTTTGGATGCTGTCAATGAAATGAAACAAGCCAGGCAATGGGATATCAAATTATCGCAAATAGTGAATAGCTTCACATATAAAAATAGTGGGAAAACGAGAAAAATAGATAACAATGAATGACATACCTGCTTCAATGATCTTGTCAACTTTAGCTTCGCTGATTCCTTTGATCTGCAGAAGATCCTTTCTTGGAGAGTATGCAACAGCTTCAACTGTGCAAAGACCCGCGTCTTTAAGCTTCTTTACATCAATGGAAGCTATACCTGACGTCTTTATTTGAAAAAATAAAAACATTCCATCATCAATTAAAGAAAGATTGCTACTTTGATGGAAATATCATTGGTCAGTGAAAATACGCAATCCAGATTATAAATTTCATCTCCACCGGGATGAACTGATCTGTAACAAACCAAACCCATACGACTATCAAAACCAGAAAGAGATAGGCCGTTGGCTAGGGTTTCGCATTGCAGGTAAAGAACAAAACCCAAGACTGATAATTAAAAGTAAAATGATAACACTATTGGATTTCATCGTACGATGGTCAAAACGAGAATAAATTGCAGAACCCATATGAAATATAGAATCTTGAACAACAATTTGCAGAAATTCGAACCCAATTCAGAGAAAAAGAAAAACCCTTTCTTCGATTTTGAAGGGAACAGACGAATCTAAACATGATAAACCATTGGAAGCATATTGAAGAAGAACCCATTTGGGGAAGCCGCTGAATTGTTCGAAATGAGCGTAAATTTGAAATGGGTTACCTGAAGTTGTTCAACGGGGACAGGGCCGTGCTGCATTTCTTCGTGTTCATCTTGTTGTTGGGCCGTCTTCTGGTTGCTCTGTTGCTCCATGCCTTCGCTAAATAGTACCTCCACGACCACAACGTATGCTCCTACACCACAACTGATCCCAAAACACAGAAGGAGAAACAAAACACGAGATGAGACAATGGGGAAGAAAGAGAGAACTGATATTTTCAAAAGCGTTTTAGGGGCGCCAAAGTACACACAGCTTGCCGGGGAAGCTTACTGAAAAAGGCTCTACGCCCTATCGATATGGGCTGGATCACAACTTTCTTCTGAAAGGAAATGTGCTCTTGGCCCAATTTTGTAAATCCAATTCATCATACAACCATCTCAGCCTAAATGTCACAGCTATAAGAGCCATTCCACCATTCAGCCCAAGCCCAAGGCTAGGGGCGGGCTGCGCGAAAAACGAGCTTCGAGCGGGCCAGTCTTGCCCGGGCTGGGAGTGGGACCCACGAAGACGGGCTGGCCCAAAGGCCAATTTCGCCCGAGCTCGAGCCCGAGGGGGGATGACATCATGCGGGACGTCATCGCACGGTTTGATTTTTTTTTACCGTTAGCACGTGCAATGCACACACCAACGGTAAAAAAAATTTGAACTCGCCTGCGCTAACGTCAGCCCTGCGCAATCTCCAACGAGTAGAAGACAGGTGTCAAGGCCTGGGCGCTCCAATCTGCTTCTCTTCCTCCAATCCAACGGCTAGCTTTTTTTTAGCAATAAAATTATAAAAAAAAATCAAAATTTTTTTAAAAAAATACCAAAAAATTCTGATTTTTTTTTTCTATAAATACCTATCAATACCCTGTACTTTCAACACCAATCCTCATACATTTTCTTCTACTTATAATATTATTCACTCTTTACTCAACATTTTCCTCTCTTTCAAATTGTATTTTTATTTCTTATCTTTATGGCTTCTTCTATCGAAACCGGAGGGGCATGGAGCACCATGGAAGATGTTTCCTTCTCTGAGGCTTGGCTCCAAGTTTGTCATTGTCCCGTGTCAGGCAATGAGATGAAATTTTGTTATATGTGGAAAAAAAATTCATGCCGAATTTTGTGAAAGAATTCCGGGGTTGACTCGTACGGAAATTGCATTGTCTAGTAGATGGAAAATTCTCAATAAATAGTTGGCAAAATGGAGAGATTTCTTGGCAAAAGCAAGGGACAACCATAGAAGCGGGGAAAATCTTAGTAGCGAGGTAAGTATTTTGTAATTTTCGTTTTATTAAGTTTAATGTCCTAATATATATATATATATTTTTAATGTTTCTTGAATTTTCAATATTTTGTTAATATTTCTTGCATTTTCAATATTTTGTTAGTATTTCTTGAATTTCCAATTGTTTCTTAATATTTCTTGCATAAATAATATTTTGTTAATATTTGTTTCATTTCCAATATATTTGTAAGGTTAATTGAATTTCCATTATTTTTTTTTATGTTACTTGCATATCCAATCTATTTTAAATATTTATTGCATTTCCATTATATTTTTTTTGTTAATAGATTATTCAAGCACATATGTGGTTTGGTGCAACTGGGTAAGGCAAAAAAACTTTCAACCATCATGAATGTTGGGAGGTGGAGAAAAATTGCAAACGCTTCAGAATTATTCCCACGGGTCCCGTCGTTATGTTAAACGAGATGCCACTCCATGATTCAACAACATCGGATTCACCTCTCGATTCCCCTATGAGTCAAGACTCACCCATCGAAAAGGAGCCGAGGCCCATTGGCTGAAAGGCTGCAAAGGCAAAGAAAGGAAGTAATTCTAGCAGTAATACATCCAAACTTTTGGAGGAAATTGCAAGGCAGAGAGCTATAAGAATTGAAATGGAGTGGAAATACCAAGAGAATGAGATGACAATTCGAGCAGAATATGTACAAGAAATGGAGTTTTTGCGCAAAGAAATCATTGACAAGAAGGATCGAGAAACCATGGCCATAGATACAAGTCATATGTCCCCTGAAACAAAACAATTTTAGAAGCTAGAACAGAGGGATGTTATGAGAAGAAGACTTTTCCGTGACGATGGACCTATCAACACGGATTGGTTAAATGATAAAAACCATTAAATTAGTTGGCGTACCTTTTATTTATTTGTATTTTTCATGTTTTGTATTAAAGTTGTTGAAATTCATGTATTTTATTTTAGTAGTAGTAATTCTTAATGACTTGTATTGGCTTTCTTTACTTAATAAACAAAGCATTTAATAAAATGCCTTTTTATTCAACATATTCCATACATCAAAGAAAACATAATTAAAAGGAAAAACCACAACCAAAGCATAATAAAAAATATAAAAAAACTACAACCAAAGCACAATAATAAAAACAAACAACAACCAAACCATGAAAAAATAAAAAAAATAAAAAAAACAACACAACCAAACCATAACTAAATCAAACATAACCAAAGCATCTATGCTTCATCATTCACCATCATTGCCTTTCACAACCCATAGATGCTCCATCAAGTCCAGTTGACGCATTTCATGAATATACGACGATTGCATCTCTGTATATCGATATACCATATGGGTCATGAAACGACCATCTCTAACCAACGGATTCGGCTCAAATGGTTCTCCACTTGGCCCCATGGGCCTTTCATAAATTCGTGTCAATGCCATGTTCATGGGATCCGGTTCGTAGACCTCTGCAGTATCGTAATCATACTCATCCTCCACAATCATATTATGAAGGATGATGCAAGTCATCATAATGCTTCTGAGGACATCCTCATCAAACATATGGGCCACACCTCGAATAATCAACCACCGAGCTTGAAGGATGCCAAAACACCGTTCGACATTTTTCCTGTATCCTTCTTGATATGAAGCAAATAATTTTTGCTTATGGGATCGAGGATTTAGAATAGATTTGACAAATGTGGTCCACCTCAGGTAGATGTCGTCAGCTAGATAATACCCCGTCTGGTAGACTGTATTGTTGACTTGATAGGTGATATTGGGGCCTTGGCCTCTCAAAACATCATTGAAGATCGGGGATTGACCCAGCATGTTGAGGTAATTTTGGGATCTGGCAACTCCAAAGAAGGCATGCCAAACCCATGTATCGAAGCCAGCAACGACTTCAAGGATTATACTTTTTTGACATTTTCTATTGGCGTAATCTCCTTGCCAAGTAGTTGGGCAATTCTTCCATTGCCAGTGCATGCAGTCAATACTACAAATCATTCCTGAAAATCCTCAAGCTTTGGCTTTTTGTAGAAGCCGTTAGAGGTCCCTAGGAGTAGGTCTGCGCAGGTAGTCCCTAGTGTATAGAGTTTCGACTACATCACAAAATCTTACCAAGGCCTCTAACGTAGTGGACTTCCATATCCGAGCAATCTCATCCACTTGATCAGCAGATGAACTATACGTCAACATTCGTATAACAGCTGTAAGTTTTTGCTCCAGAAGAAGTCCCAAAATCCCAGCAGTATCACACTTTTGAACAAAGTATACATCATAATTTCAAATATCATGCATGACTTTATTGAACAAATGGGGTTGCATTCTATATTGCCTTCGAAAATCAACATCATAGTACAAAGAAGTTGGGATAAAATAATCTTCCAAAAGATTTTTACCCTGACAATGCCTATGTCTGTCCACATTCGGGCCACGGCCGACTTGTGAACTACGGCAGCGACCTTGGTTCTCTTCATCTAGCAAAGCTACTGCTATAACAACTTGTTCATCTTCTTCTCTCTGCAACCTTTGCCTTTCAGCTCGTCCACGACTTCTCTCATTTGTTTCTTGCTCTTGCCTCACCAAGCATCTCCTCAAATCTTCCATTGAGAATGGAGTATGAATTCTAAACTCTGAGAAATGAAAATATAGAAAGATGTGGTGTGAGAGGTAATGAGCTGAGCTTATGGTTTTATAGAAAATTTTGGCTAGATAGAGATGCCACGTGGCTTGATTTGATAGGATGAAAATCTTATCCGAAATTTGAAATTTGAAATTTATCTGAAATTTGAATTTTGAACCCAAATTTATCTGAATTTTGAATTTAGAACCCAAAAATCTTATCCGGAAATTTTATCCGATTATGAACAGTCTTGACACGTATGAACCCGAAAATCTTATCCGAAAATATTATCCAAACTAATTATTGAGGTAAAAAATTTTGTGAAAAAAACAAAAAAATGAATAGTAATTGCCCTTGTCATGATAACGGGTGAAAACATACAATACTATTTGCAAAGTCAACCACTATTCACATGAATAGTGGCTGCCCTAGCCCCCCATTGCCATGGCAAGGGGCAAATGGGTGGAGTTGCTCTAAATGGATGGGGGTGCGCGTGCCCCCCCAAGAGTGCGAATAACTTAGTTTGGGGGCCATTACATAAATCTTTTACAAATTCTTCCATGAAATGCTAGAAATGTCTTTAAATTTACGAAGAACTAAATGTAGGCTTGTTTATTGCTATTTTTTGGAAGTTTGAATGAAATTCAAAGACTTTTGTCCCACATTGGTAGAAAGAAGAAAATGAGGAGTCTTTATAAGTGTGGGAGTAATTGGAAGTTGAGCCAAATAGAAGCCTCAAATTTGATTTGGGAATTAAATATTATATAGGTAATACATAATATTTAATTATAAAAAAGATGGGTCTTGGTCTCTGGAAAAATTTAATTAAGACACTCAAATGAAAATTAATTGCTCAAGCGTGTAGGGTTCATGATAGTAACCGAACTTATTAACATATATGAGCAATTAATTATGTAAAAGTGATATCATCACTAGCCAATAAAAATATAATAAAAACGTAGGGTTATAAGCTTAAAAAGATGCATATGCTTCAACTTTGGTACATGACTTTAATTAAGGTTACATGTGGTGCATGAGAACTTCGATGTCCACCTCTTCACATTAGATTCGAGTAACACATCCTTTTCATCCCAATCAATGGAGGCCAGAAACGAAAGTGACTCCAGTAGAAGGCAGCCATGAAGTCCCAGCAATAAAATTAGAAACAGTAAACTCAACAGCCTCATCAGCTCCAATCACATGAAACCCAGGCCATTGCACCCTTTTGCTCAATCCGGCCCCCGGCCCCCCATTCGCATACTCCGCAAAGTACAGTGTCTTGAGGCTGGATCCTCCAGCCCCAGGCCACTCCACCCAGCCTTGGGGTGCAATCACGTCGTCTATGGTTGATTCCATGACGATGGCTCTAGAGTATTGCTTCCATGGCCTCCCCAAATACGAGCTGTAGGAATGCTTAACTGGAGAGAAGTCCGAGCTGGGTATGATCCTACAGTTTTGGACCGAGAACCCAGTTTTTTGTCCAGGATCAGACCTACCATTTGCCAGAATTGCATTGTAGCCCTTGTGCCTGCGTAGCACCAGATCACAACTCTGAAACACAGCTGCAGCGTTGCCAAAGATGAAGTCTATTGTGCCATAGATGTCACATTCTCTGTAGAACTGACGGAGGGCATGGGCATAGAGAGTGTCTTGGTAGCCAACAATGCTACACCTGTAGAGAACTGAGCGATCAGAAGAGATGTAGAGAGCCAAGGCTTGCTCTCCTTGAGGGCCTGCTGTGTTTTGGAACCCTATATCCCTAGCAATGAACCCATCTCCTGTTACGGCTGCCCATGCCATGCAAACCAGGAAGAAACATCACACAATGTTTTTGGCAATTGATCAAACCAATAATAAACATTATATGCACAATATTCAATTATCATCCAAAATCCGGATGAAGATTATAGAGGTAAATAACACATTATTTTATCACGCTGTGTGACAAGTACTAATTACAACTTTAATTATTAGGGCCAATTTTAAATGTTTAATAAGACATTTCAATTGTCATGTGATGTGATTAGTTAATTCGAAAATGTGGATTTTACCCTTCATAAGACTCGCAGTGCTGGACTCACCAAATTTTATTTACTAAACTATAAAGAAATGTTCTCTTGCCAAACAATATGCAATGACATAAAATGTTTGTGTTGCCAAACTGTGAAGCCATTAGTAGTCATTGACTTTGTTTGAATGTGTGGTTAAGATTCATAGTCTAGCAATATACACATGATAAGATAAATTTACCCCTAAATTATACATGATATTAAGACTGGCCCAATGTTAAAGTGAATGAATTATTATCATATATCATTTTGCCAACAATATAGACGTGATAAGACCCCTAAATTATACATGACATTAAGACTGGCCCAATGTTAAAGTGAACGAATTATTATCATATATCATTTGACAGGAATATTATGGGAGAGTGAAAGAGAGAGAGTACTAACTGAAAGTAGCTGAGCCAGGCATGGAGGCACCTTTGGCAACGCTATCATCCCCAGTAATAATAGTGGAATATTTTCCATCTCCTATCAACGTAATACCATCTTTTTTAGTGTGAATCTTCTCCTCATAAACCCCTGCCTTTACATAAATCACAAACCGGCCCCCGGAAGCTGCATTGACGGCTTCCGATACAGTTTTGTAGTCACCCGATCCATCTTTGGCAACCACGGCATCAGCCTTTATGGTGGTTGCCTGAAGTAGTTTCCGGTCCCTTTGCGATACCCATTTGGCAAAACGCCCTCGGTCAACACTACGGTGATTTGTGACCGTTGTTGTATGGTTACTTGTGATACGGTTGACAAGAGCTAATAGGTTACTTACCAACTGAGAAGCGTTGTCTATGCGCTTGGAAATTTGACCAGAAGCGTAGTCTTTGCAAGTGTCTTGGAAGGTCAACGCAGCACTGAGCCATGCTTGGATGTCATGCTTGTTTTTCCTTGGAGATTGTTTGAGTGCCAATAGGGACTGGTCTAGCCGCTTCAAGGACATGTTCATGAGCTCTTCACAATAATAGTCTGCATACATATTAACCAACATATGGTGAAAAAGGCTTGCATTCACAGACAAATACTTACGTTTCTACACTATGAATCGGAGCATGTTTTGTGCACACATATTAATGTTTAGATTTACAGTATGACTACTACCTTTGACGGAATGAACACGTTGAGCTTCACGGGCTCCAAGTTCGCCTCCCAATTTGAATTGGGAGCTGAAGTTGACAAACTTGGAGGTGGCCAACATGGTCTCAGATATGGTCTTGTTTGCAAGAGCCAACATTATATCAACATGTTGTTGTTCATGCCCTAAACCAGACCCCATCATGGTTTGAACACATATGCTGGGATATCTAGTAAAGCTGCATTCCTTTTGAACATAAATTTGGTAGCTATCATTGGCTTGTCCTGCCCCTAACACCGAGGCCCCTACCAGTGCCCAAAACACTACCACAAGCTTCAACATTCTAAATACTACCAGAGAATAAACAAACTCACAAATGTTTTAGCCAAAGAAAGAGGCAATGGGGCCTGAAATATATAGGTGAAGGGCGTGCAAAATATTTAAATATGTATGTGGAACAGTAAAGAGCCTTTCTACTGTTGGTTTGGTGGGCCCCTTGATGAAGAAGTGGGTGCTAAGATGTTCATGTCATTCCTTTACCTTGACTGTGATTCGATAACGGCCTGTTTGTACACTTTTAGCACACACTTGAGGACATCACATGGTACATTTTGTACATGTGGACGACATGTGCACGACGTAGTTTGTTTTTTTAATTTTTAAAGAATATTATCAATAAATATATACTTATATTATAACCTACTGCAACCATAGGAGGTGGTGATATGTCAAATTAATACATGATTTTAAGTTGATTTGCGCTGCTACTCTTGACTTGAGTCATCTTATGTTTAGAAATCGGGTCACACTATAGTTTAATGCATTTATGGTGCAATTAATTCTGCACCAGCACCGATCTGCTGGCTTTAGGAGAATTTTCAAAACCCAAATTATGCATTTTTGTTTTATTTTTCACAACTGTTATTGACAATCTAAAAAAGTATGTTTAAGAATATGAGTCCTATATCGGAAATTTGACTAAATAAAATATAAAATATAATGAATTGTTCTACTACTAAATACTAATAATACCAAGACCTTTTGTGATAAAACTTCACATTTACTGGGCTTTGTAGGTGGTTAAGTTGGAGACAATATCGGTGTTGTTAGTAGTGGGCCGCTGGTCCGTCTCTCTGAATTTAACATGATATCAGAGCTTGAATGTGTTGTTCACATGTTGGGCTTGAATGTTTACCCATACTCTTTACCCAATACTCGGTGCTCACATGTTGGGCTTGAATGATTGACTCCGATGTTGACTTGGCTCTGCGTGTGGCCCACTATATGGTGGTCTCACGTGAGGGGGCGTGTTGAAGAATACGAGTCTCACATTGGAAACTTGACTAAATAAAATATAAAATATAATGAATAGTTTTACTACTAATAATATCGAGATCTTTTGTGATAAAACCTTCCCGTCTCTCTGAATTTAACAAAGTCATCTTGCATTTGTTCGAGTTGAGTTTTTACTTTATATTTTTATACCGGAGTTTAGCATAATATTTTTTAAAGAAAATTTCAATAACAATTTCAAGGTTTTTGATTAGATTAGATTTGACATGTATATTGATCAAGTGGTTGGAGCTTTCCAGTTTTTTCAAGCGAAAACTAATTAATAAAAGCACATTAGATTGTGCAATTGTAGAAAGCGATTTCCAACCAACATATGACGAAAGAGATGGAAGAAATATTAATACCATGCCATCCTATTCCACTGCAGCTGTATCCTGCCCTAGCTAGTTAATGCAGCAGGTATAATTATATTAATTCACACCAGCTTATTTTTTAGAGATACTCGCATAATTCTTCAATTTTTTTAACTTGTTTCCCTCATTATTAATAAAATACTATCGTCTTCATATAAAATAAAAGGGTTCCAACAATGTGTTAAAATATCAAAATCGTTCTCTAAACTTTCGGTTATCGTTTTTAATTATAAAGTACGATTGTAATAATACATGTGGTTAGTGTACTGTCATATATTGGTCGAGGGTTATGATCAGGTAGGCTTTTAATATCTGGGGGACATTAGCACATGCATGTATGTATGTGATTCAAGTGATTGATGCACACGGGACAAGTCATGACCTGATCGAACAAGTAGTTTACCAGTCAAGATAATGAGAATTTCAGCCACCAATGATGAACAACAGTTCATGCTCCCAAACTTTTTGAGGAGGCTAGCGAGCTGTTTTGATACTTGGGCTACAAAAATGGTTGTGGATTTTGTTGTGTTCTTCAGATAGTAAATTCTTCCATCTATCTCTAGTGCTTCTGAAACCTTCGTGTGATTTTCTTTTCTTTATATAGTTTGCTTTAGGTCTTGTCCCCGTAGAGTCCGACCCGAAGATGAGATTTATTTTTCCTAATATGTGGGATTATTATTCTTCAATTTAACAAATCTTTCACAATACTACCCTCAAGCTTCCCCATTTTCAGCATTTCATACCTAAATTTCCCCATTTTCAGTATTAAACGGTGAAACATTAAAAACCCAAAAAAATACACTTGATTAACTAAGGTGAAGAGACAACAAATTGGAACATGACATTAATCCATTTTAATTGGAATAACCATGTATGAGCCCTAGGCCCAACCTTGAGATCCACCAACTCTCCACAAGTGTTGAAAAGAGTAGCCCATAAAGACTCTTCTGGGTCGGGTCATGTGGTCTTGACCCAACATGAGAGGAGTAAACCAACGACGACGATCTGTTTGTAAAATCCAAACGACAAGTCATAACCATTCTCTCTCTCAGTCACTGAAGCTGTGTGGCAGAGTAAATGGCGGGAGAAAAGCTGCTCACGCTGCAGATAGATGGCTTCCGATGGACTTGGGCGAGGTCGTGAGTGGTATCATCGTGCTTGAACAGCTGAACTCTATTTATCAGAAAAATTTAGAAAAAAACTGCAGTATAGCCGGACGGCTATACTATTTATTAAAATCATTTTTTAAGAGATGTATAGCCGCGCGGCTATAAACCAAGTATAGCCGCTCGGCTATACTATTCAAAAGAAAATTTTCAAATACCTGACAGTACAGCCGCAATGTACTTAAGGAGTATAGCCGGTCGGCTATACTATGTATTAAAAAGTTTTTAAAAACCCCAAGTATAGCCGCGCGGCTATCCTATTTATTAGAAATTTTTTTAAAAAACTGAAGTATAGCCGCAATATAATTAAAGACAAAACGAGAAGCCCATCGGGTGGTCTTGACCCAACCTGAGAGGAATAAACCAACGATGACGTTCTGTTTGTAAAGTCCATGCCGTTTGCTGGAACTCCCTCCCTTCTTCTGAATATTCAAACGACAAGTCATAACCATTCTCTCCCTCAGTCACTGAAGCTGTGTGGCAGAGTAAATGGCGGGAGAGAAGTTGCTGACGCTGCAGATAGATGACTTCCGATGGACTTGGCCGAGCTCGTGAGTGGTATCATCTTGTTTGAACAGCTGAACTCTAAGCCAACTGAAGGCAGTGTTCCAAAAATCGGCCTAGGCGGTTCCTAGGCGGTAGGTGGGGGCCTAGGCGGTAGGAGGGCGCCTAGGCGTTAGGCGGGTGCCTAGGCGGATCCTAGGCGGTAGGTGGGGGCCTAGGCGGATCCTAGGCGGTAGGTGGGGGCCTAGGCGGAAGGAGAGCGCCTAGGCGGATCCTAGGCGGAAGGAGAGCGCCTAGGCGGATCCTAGGCGGTAGGCGGCCGCCTAGGCGGATCCTAGGCGGTAGGCGGGAGGATAGCGCCGCGATTTCACCCTAATCGTTAGGGGTAGGCGCCAGGGAGTTAGGCGGCGCCAAGGCGGGTCGGATGGCTGCTTCTTTACTCTTCTCGACCCAACCAGTGGCAGCGATGGTTCTTCTCAACTCATCAGAGGTATCTTGGAATTTTTCTTCTTTTCTTTGTAGCTGCTGCTGGGCTCATATTATTTCAAAGGCGCACAAAGAGGAGATGATTGAGGCAGAGAAAGAGCAGGGACGATGGAGGTAGAGAGAGATGGGAGGTGATGGAGGCGGATAGATGAGAGCTATATAGGATACAACGGATAGATAACTGAGGATAGGGTTCGTCCAAAAAAAGGTGAAAATAGGGTTAGTGAAACGCTATGGTTTACTTGTGGGCTGGTATTTTATCAAGGTTCTCTTATGGGCCCATATACTAAAACATAACCTAATTTTTCGAACATTGACTGAAGAAGGAGTGTGAAGTTTTGATATAGTTGAACCCCATATTTTGCAGGATGTGGTCTTCTTCTTTTTTCTCTTGTATTATAGATTCAAGGTGATCTTCTATCTTTGAGTTTCTTCTGTTAAACTGTAAACCATGTACAAAAGAAGAGAAGTGAAAGAAATTTTTGCATTTGGAGCAAACTGTCAAACACCAAAAACAAGGCAGAGTCCATTTCCCACTTTGCAGCACCACAAACAGTACATCCTTTCCGTCACATGTACAATTTATAATTCCACCCTCACCATCAGGACAAATGTCTATCCTCTTTCTGGAAGAAGTTTTCCAATTAAAGCAAAATTTTGAAAACATGGAAACCTAGCATTCAGTTCTCTGGTACAACCTAGCATTTAATGAATTATCTACATGATGAACAAATGTTCTCATACGTAATTCATTTTTTTCTTTCTTTTCGTTAGGGCTAATATATATTAGTTACAACAGGATGCCAATTTCCCTGCCTTGTTGATCAATTTGAAACAAGAAATTGACAACATCACCATTTCAATCCAGACACAGATGTTCCACTCTTGTTGATCAGATACTCGTCGTCTCGGTTCGACAGATGAACTCCTTAGTTTTCAGATAGGCCGAAGCGAACAGGAACCCCCTTGACCCTGAGCCAAGCATTCCCTTTCAAGAAAGGCCCTACAGTATATTTCATAGCCTCTTGCTTGTCAATGACTTTGTATCCAGACCACTTGACCCTGTTATCAGTCTTGGCACCTGGTCCCTTGTTGTTATACTCTGCATAATACAGCGTTTTCAGTGCAAAGTCTCCTTGCCATGGTGTCCATCCATCTGGGTGAATCAGATCCTCAATTGTTGAGTCCATCACTATGGTTCTTGAGAATTCCTTCCATGGCCTTCCGAGGTAGGTCTTGAACTGAGACTTTACTGGCTCAAGATCTTTGTCAGGCATGATTTTGCAATTCTGCAGAACTATTCCTGTGGTTTCCTGTTTGTCAGTCCGTCCCTGGGCAGTAACAATGTTTTGTTGGTTTTCCATAGGTTTCCTGACGTAGATCAAGCAGTTCTGAAAGATAGCAGCAGCGTCACCAAAGATGAAATCAACGGTGCCTGAAATAACACAGCTCTTATAGAACTGCCGATGGGTTTGTGCATACAAGGTGTCTTGGTACCCTTCAAATCGGCAGTTGAGAAAAATAGCACGGTCTGCTTGGACTCTTGCTGCCACTGCCTGATGCTTCTCAGGACCTGCCGTGTTTCTGAATCCCATGGACTTTGCCATAAAACCTTCTCCTAAGGCCGCTGAAACAGAAACAAATGAAAAAGGAATAAGTGCCATTGACAATGGCATTAACTTCCAACAGTAAGTATGGAAGTGGAGCATATCATATGGTTTAAAATGGTGAGTTAGGCCTCAGTTCTTGCCTAAGTTTTGCACATACCAAAAGATGCAGTTTGGAATGTCCTAACTCCGTCTGCAAAGTTCTTATTCCCTGTGATGATGCTCTTCTGTGACCCGTCACCGTATATGGTAACATTTGGCATCTTTTTTGTCACAATCACAGTCTCATCATAGACTCCTCCTTTAACGTAGATGATATATCTGAATTTTCATAAGGGTAAAAACAAACTAATAAATAAAGATAGCAAGTGTGTGTGTAATTATTTTTTCTTCTTTTTCTTTTTCAGAAGTGAAGGAACAAAACGCATACCGTCCTTCATATTTTGCAGGCATGGCTGCCAAGGCTTCACTAATGGTTTTGAAGTTTCCACTGCCATCTTTTGCCACAGTCACATTAGGTGTGGGCTTCTCATCGTTTTTCTTCAACACCCTTCGCTCCTCATGGCTCATCCAGGTAGGAAACCCGTCCTTGTTCTGTGCTAGAAGACGACGTTTTGCTCCTGAAACTGCTGCTGTAACCGGTAGCTGGAATTGGGAAAGGAGTGAAAGCATGGCCAAGGAATTGCTGGTGAATTCCTTGGAGGCCTGCAACATCTTCTCCAAGTCAGACTTCAATTTTCCATCAGGAAACCCATCAACACACGTCTGCTGGTAAGATATGACTGCACTCAGCCAAGTGTCCAAGAGACCGGTTCGAATCTTCCCGGAAGCAGTTGTGTTGCCAATTTGAGAAATGGCATCCCCTAATTCGTCCATGGCATCTTCAAACAGCACTTTGCAATCCTCAAATGCTCCCTTCTCTTCTGGGCTGTTAAAAGTGAGCTCGCTGGATTTGCTGTAGGCAATCCTGGCCTCATCCGAGGCTGCTGAGATAGCGGTCTTGATGAATTCCTTCGGTTTAGATGCGTCCTTTGCCTTTCCGATGATGCTCTCGCACTTGTCCTTGTAGTCCGTTGCACCACACATCTGCTTCATGATCTTCTCACCTTTTGCCGGCACTTTATTCTTGGCTTGATCGTTCTTGGGTTGAGCTTTTGCCGGAGCAGGCTTAGAATTGGCTGTTTTGTCTTGCTTAGCATTGCCCTTCTTACTATTAAGTTTGTTCAAAAGTAAATAGGCTCCGACAGCAATCAGAATAAGCAGGACGACGACGACAACTGCGATGATAATTCTTTTCCTCATTTTACGTGCCCTCTCAGCCTTTCGGCGTTCGGATATCTGGTCGAAATCCTGGAAGGCCATTGCGAGAGTGGCTAAGGCAGAGGAACCTCTGCCTTAATAATTCAGGCCCAGGCACACGGCGACAGAGAGAAAGAGACTGGAAAGAGATTGAAATACGATGGTGTTTCAGCTTTAATCAATTTCCTCTTCCTATCTCTTTGTTCTTCAGTTTGGAATTTGAGTCTCCATTATTATTTTGGCAATTGACAGAGGAGGGCTGGTCAGGAGAGTTTTCAGGTTTTCTATTTTTCAAAAGTTAGTTAGAGATGACAACAGGGATCCTTTCCTTTCCAACCGCATTTCCCTCGCGAATTCTTTCCTTCAGGTCAATTTTCAGCTTCCAAAATTACGTCTAGACCCCCAACTCTCAAACTATATATGAGCATGTATTGTTCAAATTTGTCAATGAATTCAAAGGCTGTGTTCTTTTGTGAGGTTATGATTTTAGCTCCAACATATTCATGACTCAGAATCCAATCTACATTCTTCAACCAATTAAAGCACCAATGCTGCTAGAAGGATCAAATTTTGACCACGTTAGCTGCCCATATGAAGTGTACTTATAGCATCCATTGTTATGACTAATTGCCACCCACATCAACTGCCATGTCATGCGATTGGCTAATATGACCGCAAAACGCAATCCAATCTACATTCTTCAACTAATTAAAGAACGAATGTTGCTAGAAGGATCACATTTTTACCATGTTAACCGGCCTATATGACGTGTGCTTATAACATCAATCGTTACATTTTATTGTTAATCAACACATCAACTACCACATCACGTAGTAAGCTAATAGGATCATGAAATGCCCAAAATGTATAATAATATCAGAAAATATTTGACCTCATCCATACAACTTCCACCTTTGGTGTACCTATCTTAAACACTTATAAAACATTGATAATCTTTCTTATCTTGTAGGAGAATTCTTACATAGAAGAACATTCATTCATACAGAAATCCCAAAGATCAGATGCCATCATCGTAAGGAAATGAAGTGGCCTGCAGCCATTCATCACCAATAATAAACTCTGATACTGTGAAGTTTGCTGCATCATAATAATCCATAATATGATATCCAGTCCACTTAACCCTATTTTCTGTCCCTGAACCAGGCCCATAATTTTCATACTCTCCATAGTACAAAGTGTCCAACCCTAGATCCCCAGACCACTGTCTCCACCCAGTTGGGTCAATAAAGTCACCAACGTAGGACTCTAGGTACACTGTCCTAGAGAACACCCTCCATGGCCGGCCTAGGTAGCTTTTGACAATGCTGGAGTGCAAGTCATCAGTGGCCACAATTGAACAATTCTGTATGGAGATTCCCGTGTCTTCATCTGCTGTGTCTCTGGATTGTGCTGTGATGACCGTGAACTGTCCGGGCATTGGCATCTTGGATACAATGTCACATCCTTGGAATATCACTGCTGCATTGCCAAATATATAATCTATGGTCCCAAATATGTCACACTCTCTGTAAAATTGTCTGAAAGAGTGGACATACAATGTGTCCTGGTAGCCATTGATGATGCACTTGTAGATTGCAGCAAAGTCTGCATTCACTCTGAGAGCAACAGCTTGGTGCTTTTCTGGTCCAGCTGTGTTCTCAAATGTTATATCTCTTGCCAGAAACCCCTCTCCAGAAACAGCTGAAAATTGAATATCACGGAAAATCAAAATGGGATTAAATTCAGGTTCACTTGTGAAAGGGGTTTTGGATGCAAGCAATATTTTACCATACGAAGACAATATAAATAAATGAAATGAAACAAGGGATGCAGTAATTAAATTTTTAATTACCTAGGGTTGCAGATCTGAATGTGGTCCAGCCATCAACCACACTTCTGTTACCAGTTATGACAGTGATGTCTCTTCCATCTCCAAGAAGAACAATGTTGGTCTTGTAGCTTGGGATTTCCACATTTTCAACATAAACGCCTTCCTTGACATAGATGATTGTTCTATCATAACTATTATTTGGAGCAAAATTAACAGCATCAGTGATGGTGGTAAAGTTCCCAGTCCCATCTGCTGCAACTGTTAGAACTTCACTTGGATCATATTTGTCGCCAGAGCTCTCCAGGATCCGGCGATCTTTCCTTGACATCCATGTTGGAACAGCCAAGAGACGCCGGTTTGTACCGCCTTTTGGAGCCCTTGGCTTTGAGATAACTGAGAGAGAATTGCTAACATACTTGTATGTACTAGTTAAGGAATTTACTAGAGCCGGCTTCATAGGGCCAGAAGCAGAATCCAAGCCTTCCAAGCATGTGTTCTTGTTTGTAAGAGCAGCACTGAGGTAAGCTCTTGCATCATTTAGTTTCTTGGTGTTGCCTGCTCGAACCCGAGAGACGGATCTTTGTAGAGAAGAGAGTGTGATTTGGTGAAGCTCCTTACAATCCTGGATAGCTCCCTTTTGCTTCTCAACGATATTTGAGTACTGTCCAGCCTTGTAGAAAAGATCAGAAAGCTTCCCGGCTTCGGATATCGCGACTTGGAGAGACTGGAGGAGGTAGGTTATGATGTTAGGACTGATGTTTATTGAGACTGAAAGTTTCAATGAGTCAAAGCAAACATCTGGGTATGGAGTGGACTTGCAGAATGATCTTATTGAAGACAAGTTGGGATTGAACTTAGTAGTATTTGTGGAAGAAGAAGAAGAAGAATTGTGGAGAGCACTGCAGGTTGTTGAGAAGAAGATTATGCAGAGGAGCTGCAACACTTTTGCAATGGAGGAAGCCATAAGAGTAGTGTTGATGGGACAAAACTGACTCAAACATGTAAAAGAGAGAGTAAAAAAACTTAATGATGTTGGTTTTTCTTAAATAATATCTTTGGGAACGTAAGTTGCATGGATTTGCTTAATTAATGAATCATTACACGGGTTCTTATAATGTTCATCTTTGAAAAAGTATAATAATAAGACAATATGATTCTTGTATCTATGTATATATTTATGCAGAGTTTAATTCCTTTCTTTCACGGGAAATAGACTTTATGCAGAGTTGTTGTCCGGTTGAAAAGTTCCAAAGCAGAGGAAAGGGGAGCTGCATTCAGAAAACTTTAATAATATTTTCTACGCATATATCTATATATATATATATGTTTTATATCTCTGTTTTGTTTGGAGTTTCATGTTATCAGAATTCAGAGGGATGGGAGGAAGGTCTTCCTATCTCTGCAAAGATATTTTTCTGGCATGTTTTAGAAACTATGGACATGGGCCACATGGCCTTGTCCTTGGCCTTGTGGGCATGGACTAGGCAGAGTGAGTCATCTTTTGGAGTTTGTGAGTCAAGACTTCACCAAATCCATCAAAGCTCAAGCAAAAGTCTCACTCACAAATTCCAAAATATGAGTTTGATATGTGTCTAGTACTCTATAGGACAGAAATTGAGGTGAAGGATTTTGCTAGGGACAGTTGCCCTACGAGCAGGCAAGATGCATCAATGGCCAGGAGTCATCCACGCGCTACATGTATCAATGAATAGTTGAGAGTCGTCCACTCGCACGGGGGCAACTTCCTCAAGCATTGCTCATGTTGTGAATTTGTGTGGGGATATGTAACTTGGACTTCCGTGAATGCCAGGTTTTCCATACTAAAACACAAGCAGAAGGCATTACAACTTGATGGAAACGTTCACAACTTTGATAGAGAGACTTAGCAAAAGCATTAGATGATATTAACAGGTAATATGTTGCCAAACTATAAATTAATACACACCACACTCTTGCAACTTGACCTTTGTCTGGTGAAAAATCACGGGGGACAAAGACAATTATAAACTTGTATTATTTATTTGTCCTGATATCTGCCAATATCTCACATGTCCAGATTCTTTTCTCAACAATTTTTTAGCCTTCTTTATCTATAGAGACCTGTCTTGTTTATATCCTACTTGACCGACTTATCTTAGCATCCCCAACAACTACCTGGTTATGCTAAGAAATATAACCTATGGAAGGGATTCTTTTTTCTTTTTTCTTTTTAGACCAGTTTTTTCAGAAATGGTGGTTTTTCTACTCATATTTTGTTACATACTAGGATGAATTCATTTTGCGAGTTCCTATATTCATCAGCATGGCACACAAATAAAATACTTATCACAGAATTTAGCTTAAAAAATTTGATTTAAGAAGAAGATATGATTAGGTACAAGAGGTGAAATTACACATTAACTGCTAAAATCCTTAAACCCCAAAATCTGCGGTATATTTGACACCAGTAGAGGGCAACCACAGGTTGCCTTCAATAAACTGGGCCACAGTATAGTTCTTGGCCTGAGTAGACTCGTTGAACACTTGATAGCCGGGCCACTTGACCCGGCTACCGAGACCTGCCCCGGGTCCATAATTCATGTACTCTCCATAAAACAATGAATTCAAAGCAAAGTCACCATTCCACTCAAGCCACCCTTCAGGCCTTATGACATTGCTCAAGAAAGACTGCATAATTACAGTTCTTGAATACAGCTTCCATGGCCTACCAAGGTATGTGGGTGTGGAGTTGACTGAGGCACCTTCCAAGTCTGAATCTGCAGTTATGTTGCAGAATTGGATTGAAATTCCTGTTGGCTCATTTAGGTCCTTGCGGCCTTGGGCTGTGATGCTGTTCTTTTGGTTTGGGAGGCCTTTTCTGGCTAGGATTTGGCAGTTTTGGAACACAACTGTGGCATCACCAAAAATGAAGTCAACAGTGCCACTGATTTTGCAGTCTCTGTAGAATTGGCGCATTGTGTGTGTGTAGAGTGTGTCTTGGTAGCCCCTTATGTTGCATCTGTAGAAAACTGATAAGTCAGAATCTGATCTTAGTGCCACTGCTTGGTGCTTCTCTGGCCCTGCTGTGTTCTCAAATGTTATGTCTCTTGCTATGAACCCTCTGCCACTAACAGCTGAATTCACACAAAGAAAAACAGATCAATTTTGAATGGTTGAATGCTAAATTACCATTAGTGTAGAAAGTATATCAACGAAATATATGCGCCAGTTATATATAACCTCTTTGTCGGATCGGATACAATGCATGTAGATTCTACAAAGGTTGTATACAACCAATGCACACAAAAATTAATTGCCGAAAAAGATGTACATGTCAAAATGATAAAATGTTTTCTGATATCAGACTATTAAATGAGAGCCTATGCTAGGTGAATTCAAGAAATTAAGCATATGTTTCCTGCTTGACCCCCTCCAACTAAAAAAAAAAGGTGAGCCTTTGGATGTGACATAAGACTTGCTGGCTCAAGCAGCTTACAGTATGTATTGGGTCCATGCACTTCACTCTCACACCTCTCATCTGCCATTTTGTTGAGGTTAATTGAATTGGTTGGGATATCATTTAAGATCTCAATGGTACGATTTTATCTAATAGTCTTAGAATGGCAAACCAACAAACGTTACTGTCCAGAGGCCCCCAGGCCAAAGTTGACAAGATAAAGCAGAAAAAGAAAAAATAAACTAATTCTAAGGTACTTTGTGGCTAACAAAATCAGGGACCAGCAACAGGAAAAGTAAAAGAAAATTTAAACAGATGCTTATTGCTTACCAAAGGTTGCAGATCTAAATGTGGTCCAGCCATCCACAAAGTTTCTGTTACCAGAGATTATAGTAGCATCCATACCATCTCCAATCATCATTAGGTTCCATTTTTTCTTCTTAATCTCCACATTCTCTTTGTATGTGCCTCTCTTGATGTATATAACATATCTTCTCATGCTATAATCTGGTGCTGCTAACACGGCATCCGTCACATTTGTGAAATTCCCAGTGCCATCTTGAGCTACAATGGCATCAACAGAGACCCCATCGGCTTGAAGTAGTTTTCGATCTTTGGTTTTAACCCATGAAGGGATTTGGCCATTAGGCCCCTGCTGATTAGAATTTGGGTGCACTTGGGTAAGAAGTTCTTGGACTAAAGAGGTTACTTGGTCAAGGCCAGCTGAGACCAGCCCTTGGACAATGCTGTTGGTGCCTTCAAACCCATTACTGCATGTGTCCTGGTTAACAAGTGCAGCGCTCAACCATGTCCTCAGATCAGAACTTAGCTTCCCAGTGCTGTTATTTTTGCCTGCAAATAAATCAAAATTTGTGCCTCTTTGTTAATTTGGTTAACTTTTGCAGCTGAAAATCATATAAATGTAACCAAATTGTATTTTGTACATGATTTAAGCAAGCAAGATTAATCACAGCCCTAAGGTAAATATGTGACTTGCATGCAGAGCATGTTGGAATTTGCAGAGGAAAATCTTCTACTATATATTTTTTTATAGCTTAAATTTCAAGCCACCCTGTGACCTCATGACCCTGAATTCAAAGTTTCCAAAATAAGCGGCAACGTGTCAACACCTACAGAAAATTCCATAAACACTAAACATCTAAAAGGAGAAACTTCAAGTACTTAATTGACTGGGATTGTTCATAATTTAGTTACCCTTCTGATTCTGGGAAGCAGAGAGAGACCAGTTCAACTCATCAGCAGAGAAGTCAAGCAAATCAAGGCAGTCGGAAATGGCGTTGGAAAGCCGAAAATCTCCAAAAGCATTTGCAAACCGAGAGAGAATGGAGGCCACCTGTTGCACAGCATCAATGGTGTCCTTCAAAGAGCCTGCAAATTCAGAAGCGGGCACCTTCAAACACCCTGTCTGTAAATCATCTGTGATGCTGCAGCTAGCAAATGGGATGAAGCTGCTGCTGAAAAAAGCACACAATAAGACTAACAAAAGCAACTGCTTCCCAGCAGGCAATGGATTATCAGAAGCCATTAGCAAATAAGGCACTAGTTAGCTATTAATGATCAAAGTCTTAAGGCCTACAATAAACTTGAAGTGCCTAAGAATTATGAGAGTGGAGGGCAGCCTATTTAAGGCAAGCAGGTATGGGATTTTGAGAAGGGAGGTTAGCTAGGCAGGTGAGGGAATTTAAGAGGGCCGGTGGACATGTTGATGTGGCATGAGTCAGAGTCAAATCGCACTAGAAAAACTTACGTAGGGTTGTTCCTGTCGCTCCAAAATGTATTGATTGTATTGGTAGAATAATTTAACTAGAAGATGAAATGTGTTGAAAAAAATTAAGGGCCCGTCTGGTAACGTTTTCGGAGAATGTTTTCTGAGAATATTTTCAGAGAATGAAAACAAGAAAACAAATTTGCATTTTCAGGAAATGAAAATGCGTCTGGTAGATTAATTAGAAAACATCTTTAGAAAACAAAAACAATGAAAACGTGTCTGGTAGAACAATTGTTTTTCAGGTGTATTTTTGCTAATTTCAGTTCTAATTTTTTTTAATTCTGATATTTTTAGAGGCTAAAATTATTGTAAACAATGAAAAAAATTTAAGCTAAAAAACTATCTTATCTCCTTTTTTCTTTTTTTCCTTTTTCTTCTTTTTCTCCTTTTCTCTCTTTCCTCCTCTTTTCTTCTTCTTTTCCTTCACATGGCTGCTTCTTTTTTCTCTTTTTCTTCCTCTTTCCTACTTTCTTCCCCTTTTCTTCTTCCTTTCCTTCCCCAGGCCGTTTCTTTTTCTCATTTTCTTCCTCTTTTCTTCTTCCTTTCCTTCCCAGGCTACACCCACTCCTCCTTCCTTCCATGGCATGAATCCCATACACCCACCCATCTCTCTCTCTCTCTCTCTCTCTCTTGATCCACTAATTAATGGTTGTGATGGTTTGATTGGGTGATGATGGTGGTTGAGTTGGGTATGTGGTGGTTCTTCTTCTTGTCTCTGTTTTTTTTTCTTCTTCTTCCT